TACCATTCTTTTATCCCGACAAACAGTTAATATCGTAAGTTAAATATTAAAAAGGTTACCAAGTTATCCTTAAATATCCTTAAATTAGTTATCATTAAATATTTCAAAAAATATTAGATAAATAAAAAATGTTTCAGACAAAAGTTGTTCAAATTAATTGGTGGAAAAAGATGGTGTAATAAGAAATTGGAGTTTCCATTTAAGATTTTTATGTCGACCTTGATAACGTTTCTTCCAAGGTCATTCCAAGGTTAAACAATTATCAATATCTGATAGCTTTTTTTAAGCTCTACAACTTTTGTTTCAAACATTGTTTTAAACAATCATTATTTTTTTAAATAATTAGCCGTTCCGTAACCTTTGACAGACCCTATAAGTTTGATTGATCTTCATTGTATTGTCATCTCAATTTTATATATAACTAAAGGGTGTTTACTCGTAGAGTGTCAAATAAATAAATAAATAAATAAATAAATAAATAAATAAATATCAAAGAAGATGGAATGCAACTATGCTAGCTGACTGCTGCTGCTGGTGTTTGAAAGAGATGAAACCAATATCATTCACAAAAGACGTTCCAATTCTCGAAGCTTCGAATAGAAAAGAAAAAGATTCTACAAATCCCTTTGAATGTTACCAGACGATATCTTGTTCAATTTTTGTCTTAGCTGGCTTGATTGATCTTCCCTTAGTTGACTGGATCATATCTTATCTTGCCTTAGTTGGCTAGATCATGCTCTATTTCATTATCCTATCCGCCGTACTGGATCCACCATTGTGAATTTCCGAATTTTGACTTCAAAGTCGTAATCAGTGACTCAAAAAACCCCTTGATACACTGATAGAAAAATATAGTTGAATTAATTATAATCTCTCACTATATATTATATTAGTTCATTTTGGCGTCAACCATATTTTTATAGTTCGTGGAAACCTGCAAAATATAGTAGAATAAACACAAATATATAGTCAATGATTGTCTTAAATAATTGTTTAATTACTTTTACCACATATATGGTAATTTCTCATTCACAAATATAGTGAGATTTAATATTCATATAGTTACATCTATCATCATTTAGCAAATATTCTGGTAATATTGACTATATAAAAGAGTTATTTTTACCTACCATTTTATATTTACATCCATACAATAATTTTAGTTTAACTTATTATAATTCTTAGTAAAAATATTATATGGTTGGTTATACTGTGCTTATATCGTAATTATTACCGATATTATGGTAATACTTACTATAAATATGATATTTCGGACTATAATTTAGTTACTATATCATTATAGTTCCAAATATCATATACTTTTCTCTCAGTATAGTGATTGTTAGCAAAATTATAACGGTTCTTTTTATTTTCGGGCCGACATATTTGATCCGCCATTTTGAAAATACAAATTCGGACTTTAAATTCGTAATCTGTGATCCGAAAAACATTTTGACAGAGAGTTCTGAGAAAATCGATCTGATGAAACGTTTGGTGCTTAGGTACCAAAGAAAGTGGAATTTGTTGATATGAAGTGTCCTACAGTTGCAAATATTAAACGATTTCGGAAACCATGTATACGTATGTATACATGGTTTCCGAAATATACCATGTGTATGTATTTCCGTAGATTTTTTCATGAGGAGTCCGAATTTGTTGATCAAATTAACGAATATTATCGCGTTTGAAAATTATTTTTATCTAAAAATATAAAAAACTGGCCTTTTCTGCTCTTTTAGAATATCTTAAAATCCTGACATGCTAGATAAATTCTGCGGCCAAATTCGGATCACGCAACGCAAAAAATTACGTAGAAAAATACCCTTAGATCTCAGTGGGGATTCAAAAGTCTCATTTTCGCAGTCCTATGTTATCAATTAATTTCAATTAGGGGGGAAGAACATTGTCTCCTATTATATTATATTACGAGGGCAGTCTGAAAAGTTCTCGGTCTGACACATAGATAGCATTAGAAACTGTCAAACTATAATTGTATTGGAAAGTGGCATCCCTGATATAAACCCATGTTTTTATTTCGATCTGTCAAATCATTCGAGTAGTAACACCAGTTTAATATTGACGTGTCATTGTCTTTTTTTAAAATGGAAAAAAATTGAATACCGTGCAGTGATTAAATTCTTTGTTTTAGATGGTTTAACACCAACAGAAATTCATCCGAAATTGTTAAAAGTGTATAAGAATGCATTACGTTCACTTTCCGCTGTGAAAAAATGGGCTGCTCTTTTTAAATCTGGTCGTACAAGCCTCGAAGATGATCCACGCGAAGGTTGTCCAAAAACAACATCACAAAACGTTCAACAAGTCCATGATATGGTGTTAGATGATCGGCGAGTGAAAATGCGTGAAATAGCTGAGGCCATAGGCATCTCAAAAGAACGAGTTGGAAATATTTTGCATGAAGAATTACATATGAAAAAGCTTTGTGCAAGATGGGTTGCCGCAGTTGTTAACAATTGAGCAAAAACGCACTCGAATGCGTATTTCTCAAGCGTGTTTGGGTCGTTTTAAGCAAAATAAAATGGATTTCAAGCGTCGTTTCATAACTGTTGATGAAACTTGGATTCACCACTGTACATCAGAACGAAAAGAACAGTCGAAACAATGGATTGAAGTCGGTGGACGTGCACCAAAGAAGGCAAAGACGGTTCCATCAGCGGGAAAGGCTGATAGCAACAGCTTTTTGGGATTACAAAGGTGTTTTGTTGATCGATTATCTTCAGAAAGATAAAACGATTAACTCTGAATATTATTGTAACCTTTTGGATCTATTGGATGCAAAAATTCGTGAGAAAAGACCTGCTTTAAAGAAGAAAAGAATCGTTTTCCATCAAGACAATGCACGTGTTCACACAAGTGTTTTGACAATGGCAAAATTCAACGAATTAAAGTACGAATTGCTTGAACATCCAGCGTATTCACCAGATTTGGCTCCCTCTGACTGTTATTTGTTTCCAAACCTGAAAAAATTCCTGGCTGGAAAGCATTTTACATCAAATGACGAAGCTATTGCAGCCGTGGATGGATATTTCCGGCAGACCTTCCGGAATCACACTTTAATAATGCAAATATTGAATTATTGGAAAAACGTTGGAATAAATGTATTGAAGTTTTAGGAGATTATATTGAAAAATAAAATATATTTCACGGCAAAAAAATTTTCTTTCATTGTTAGGCCGAGAACTTTTCAGACTGCCTATAAGTAGTCATCCGCTTGACAATTTACTTGTAGTGTTCTTTCACACTAGCTTGATCTTTCGACTTTGCATTTAGAAGGCAAGTTTAGTTGGAAGAAACGAGAAACGAAATTCCGAGAGTCCGTCGCGACGGATTTTCGCGACTGTTCGCGTCGCGAGCGCGCGATCTCGGACATTTGATCAGGGTTACATTTACACGTGCCATTCCCCTCTCTGAGCGATCACGTATATATAGATCGCGCGCCGGCCGACGTCGTCGTGATCCCCGTCGAGATCGAATCGTTACACGTTCCGCCCGCGCTCGTGACTAATGCTTCCACGGCGGACAGCCGATTGTTCCAACAAAAATGTATTATGCGGCGACCGGAGACGGTCGTAAAATATGAATCCCTCCGGTTGGGAAATTTCGCCGGAACGAGCGCTACGTGCGCTGAGAAAAGGCAGTCGTTGAGACGCGAGCGAGCGAGCGAAGCGAGCGGTGGCTTGTTATAAAAGTTCCTCCTCGCGTAGCGTAATACCGGAGAGTGGGGTATCCGTTTTCGAGCGAAACTACGGCCACAATTAAATTGCTCCTTCTTGCGCACTCTTTTGTCTCGGTGGCGACCGTGCGGATTCACTTTGCCGTTTCTCCTGACCGCGCGCGCGCGATTCGGCTCGCGGAAACGGGGGGGGTGGGGGGTGGGGGGTAGCGCGCGCATCCTCCGAGACGCTCGCTCGCTCGCTCGCTCACTCGCAAGAACAGCGTCACCCTTGTTCGTTCGTCCGGGCTTTCGCCCTTTCATCTGCCTGGCACTCCGCGAGCCCCGTGCAAATGCGCAGAGGGCCAAACGACGGTCCGAGCTAGCGGACTAATAGCAGGACTAATAATCGGCCGATACCGTTGCGCCGCCTTATGCCCCGCGTGACCGTTCCCTAGTCTATTCGGAAATGGATGTCGGCACCTTCGCCGGGATTACGATCGATACCGCTTTCTGACGATATTCCGCTTGGCAGCTCGCTTCTGAGTGTCCCTCGTGACGGACTAATTACGCGCAACGGCGCGACAAGCCGAGCGAGCGGACGAACGCACACACGGTGCCTTTGCACAGTCGCAGACTCGCCGTCTACAGTCCTTCATTTTTCAACGCGAATTATTAATCTCGCACTGTAAAACTGCGCGTCACTCCCACGCTCCTACGCTCCTACGCTCCTTTTCTTCTTCTCGCACTTGACGATACGGGCGCGGAGAGACCTCGCGTTTCCGACCGCGCGCCCTCTCTCTTTTGTTCCCTAAGGCAGATTTTACAGCGGTTTACAACGGACACGGTTTATACTCGAGTTTAAATTAAGTCAACGGCAAGTCAACGCGGCTCTCGTTACGAGTTTTCCTCCCATGTTCCTCAGATGTGGACGTAAACAACCGTGGAAAAACAGCGCTCGTGGGGGGAGGGGACAGGTTGTGACCGGAGAAGAGGAGTAAATCTCCGAACTCGAAACCACTGCGACAACCGGAACGTTTCGGCGGAGAGGGACCCGCCGTCGTCCCGTCGGCCGATTCTCGGCATTAATTTTCCCCGGGGTCGGAACGTCCCATTGTTATCTATCGTAGAGGGCCCGAAGCGCCATATCTCAGCGGGCGGGACAAATCACCACGTGGCGGTGGCCGCGCTATTTCTCGTTAAATCTGACCGGCGCGCCGCGTGTATAATAGATTCTTCTTCCAGCAGCGGGGACTTCGCCCCCCCTCCCCCTCCCACCCTAATAACTCGAGCCTCTTTATAAGCGAGCCCGCGTCTCTGCTTACAGATATGCCTGCTAGGCCTCGTCGTGAGCGACAACAGCACGATCGGCGATCACTCGATCACAGAGGACGTCTCGGAAATCAGCAACACTGGCAACGATCTCGCCGCCGACGTCGTAGATCAGGTAAAATGCTTTCCGCTCACTTTCGTGGGGGGTTCGGCCGCGATCGCAATCGCTTTACACGCTGTGACGTATGCGGTCGAGCTTTGAAAGCCGGCTCGGGAAGGTAATCCTTCGTCCATTATCGGCTCGGAAAGTTGGGGAATCGCGGTCATGGCTGCGCGCAAGCCATGGTAAAAAGGACGAAGCGAGCAGCCCCATCTTGCGACTCGAATGACGTGTCTGCTCGAACGTACAAGTGCCAGGCGCACACGAGGGTCGACGACATAATACAGGACTGTGCGCGGTAGAAAGAGAGAAAGCGAGAAAGCCGAGAGGGCTGAAGAAAGTGTCACCGAAAGCTCCGTGAAAAATAAACATCTTTATTCACACGGCGGCCGCGGACCGCCACGGAAATGGGTCGCAGAAATCGGACAACTGCGTTGTCGCGCGCGCCCGCAAAGCCGTGTCCTGCTTTTACCTCGTTTCAGCTAGCCTCCTCACCTCGCCCGGCCTGGCCTGACTTGGTCTCGCCTCGCCTCACTTCACCTTGCCGCTAGGGGTAACTCGCAGGAGAGTTTTACGCGACTCTTTCCAGTTCGCGAAGAATGTTTAAGTTACTGTTCCTCTCCGAGGGACGTCACCGGGCGGGATTCTTCAGCAGCGATGTTTCTCCTTGTCCTCGAGCCGCGTTTAAACGCCAGCCGGATAAAGACCGTATCACACTAGCGACTCGCGGCTGCGACTGCGACTGCGACTGCGACTGCGACTGCGATTGCGATTGCGATTGCGATTTCTTGTTTTCCAATCACACTTGCGATTGGCGATCGCGGCTGCGGCTAAATACTGTCACACGTACAATCCCAGAGAAGGGGTTTACATTCTACAAGATCTACTAAATAATAGTCTATCTCTTTATTAAATTGTTTCGACATTTAAAAAAAAATGTGTAACACATAAAACAACACTAGATATAACCTTATTCTAATGATCACCGACTTCTACATACTATTATAAATAAATGTGATTATGACGAGCGGGTTTAGGGTCACGTGATTATACGTAGTTCTGTGATTGGTTGCGACTGCGGCTGCGACTCGAAAAATGGACAGCCGTCCAGACGATAGTCGCGAGTCGCTAGTGTGATACGGCTATAAGACGAGGCAAAGAGAAAGAGAGTCGCGCTTCCTGTTGTTCCCGCAAATGAGTCGCGAATGTCCCGTTTATTACGCATGACATGACATCGAGGTCGCGCGACGGCGACGGCAAGGAGCCGGGGGAGGGAGGGAGGGAGGGAGGGAAGGAGGGAAAACGGTGTCGCGGTACATGCGAGAGACTTTTCGGCGAGATTTACGATCGCGAGACTTAGCCCGCTGCTGAAACGCAGCCGCGGTCAAACGTCTCGTTCTTCAAAATTTCACGCTCCATATCGTGGCGAAAATTCCTTCCGCCGAGTTTCACCCTTTCCGCGGGAGTGATAAGTACTTATTCGTAGCCGGCAGCTTTCCTGAGCGTCGGGCGCGTGAACGCTCGGATAATCGATGTTGGAAATTACGTCACGGAGATATTTTCCTTTCGTCCTCGCTCGTCGAAAAGATCGACGAGCTTGCGCGCAAGCTGTGTGAATTTGGCCCCTCGACCACCAAGAATTTAATTTTGACCATTGCGTTTGGTAGCGTTTGATTGTCCATTCCTAACGTTTGGTAGTCAAAAGTGCAATAGTTCTCGCAAAAAATAAAAATTATATGTGAAGCTGGCTCTCCCGTCTCGAAAATCGGTTTCCACGATGTCCTGGATAATTTTCACCATTACCAACCGTTTGGTAGCGTTTGGTAGTCCATTCCCAATGTTTGGTAGTCAAAACTGCAATAGTTCTCGCAAAAAATTATAATGTGAAGTTGGCCCCCCCGGCTCGAAAATCGGTTTCCACGGTATCTTGGATAATTTTGACCATTACTGTTCGTTTGGTAGTCGTTTAACTGTTTTATAAGTAAAAATAATTTTTTTGTCATCAACTTTTTTAATTCTCATTAAAACCTCTATTTTCCTTACGACTACAATTTCAATTATCGTTCGTGATGAAATAAACATAAAATAGCTACCATTAAACCAAAATTACTAAACTATAGAGGTTTACTCATCCCCACTCTTTCGTCACGTCACAGAGAATCCTAACGCACTTAACGTAGTAGTGGTTATTATATTATATGATCGTGGTAGCGGCATTTTAATTTGTTAGTTTCAAAGAAAATATTTTTTTATATAAGTTATGTTCAATACTTACCTCGATAATTGGTGTTTATAATTAAACTGACGCTTAAATTCGATTTTACATATCACATATCGTCAATGAAAACCACTTGAAGCCGCTACATAGACGCCACTGGGATTCACGGTGATGTCAATATCCTTTCTTGTCGATGCGTCTTCTGGCCAGAAATTCGCCGATAAGCAAATCTTTATAGTTTAGTAACATTGCAAAGTTGTATTAAACAAATGATTATAATGAAAATTATGTATATTATGAAAGGATGCCGCGGGAAGTGCTTTTTTAAACTTGGCAGGCCAACCTAACAATCGCAAATTCATTTTCATTAAAGTTACTATTTTCTATCAAACGTCAGGAATTGACTACTAACTGTAAAAATATGACCATCAAAAAATTTGTCACAATGAAAGTTACATAGAATATCGCGACAAAGGAATGTCGCATAACATTTTTTAAACTTAGAAAGCCAGCTTCACAAATGCAAACTCGACTTTCACTAATAACGGAAACAATTTTGACTACCAAACGTTGGGAATTTGGACTATCAAACGCTACCAAACGAATGGCAATGGTCAAAATTAAATTCTTGGTAGTCGGGGGTCAACTTCACACAGCTCTGCACGCACGCACCTTCCCGAGCGGATTCCAACTTCTCGCTCGTGAACTCGCCCGCGAGCGAATTTACAGTTTCTCCCGCCGAGTTTGCGTAAAATTCCACAATAAAGAAAATTAAAGTTTTACATATATGTGATTACGTATCCCGCGTAGACGAGCCGGAGAGAGAGAGAGAGAGAGAGAGAGAGAGGGGGGGGGGACGAAGGGAATAAAAGCAAGCGGTCGGGCGAACGAGTTACACTTTCTTAAAGTTACGAACAAGATTTATGCAGGGAAGAATTAACAAAGTTGGAGCATTACCTCGATAGAACTCGGGGAAATCATAAAATTTTTGTAGCTCTCGCGCACTCATTTGAGGACTTGCCGCGCCACAGACGAATCCTCCGTAGCGGAGAGAGTAACGAGATCGCCGCGGCGAAACGGTCGCTCTCCTCTCGATGAGTGAATCTCGTCCATGATCGGCCGTCGATTCGATCGAGATTCGTACGTCACACGACCTGCGAAGACGTCACGAAGTGACGATGTCTACTTCGGTATTAATATCGACCGGATGAAATATTGAAGCCGAAAGACCGCGAAAACGAGTTCCATCGCTGGCGTAGGTAGCGGAATAGTTAAAACGGGACATGCTTTCCCGCTGCTGAGCTCTTCAATTACGTCCGACCGCATGTGACTCCTGATGGCTGTCGCTCGCCGTGGGTTCCGGCCTGTGTAATAGTTAAACAGGCCATCGCCCACACATATCCAACCGGGGCGCGCATTTGCAGCATATGAACGTGCGCGGAGATTAGCCGGAAAAGTGCATCGCAGTCGTTCGATTCACCTTGCGCGAAACCGCCGTCGCGCTTTCGCGCATTTTTCACGAGCGCTCATATCGTCGCGCGGGACTCAGCGAATCTTAACCGGGGGTATTCGCGAGTATAAAATGAATTCTCCAGCACGAGGCAAAAAAGTCGAGGTTATAAACTGTTAATAAAAAAACTGAAGCCGCGCTTGAATCCACTTATTTCATGTATTAATTATCTCTCTCTCTCTCTCTCTCTCTCTCTCTCTCTCTCTCTCTCTCTCTCTCTCTCTCTCTCTCTCTCTCTCTCTCTCTCCCCCTCCACTTATTCTATATAATTATCTCTCCTCGAGACATTCATTCTCGCTCTTCTTGTGTCGAAGTGATTTATTATACATTTCTCGGGACAGATATGTAACATGTATCTCTTCGTATTCAGATTTAATGTAGAACTGCGTCGAGTGTTGAAGAAAATGAGATTCCACGGTGAAACGAGGGTCTTATCGAGCCTAAGTGTGAGTTCTCCAATATCCGCTCCGATTAAAACTTCTTTCCGGCTTCAGCGTGCGTCGCGGTCTCCCGCGGTACCCCGCGGAGAAATAAGATTTTACGCTTCCTAAGCGACACACGAGCGCAGAAAAGAAAATGTTAGCGACTTCTCGAGAAACGGCGGTAACGCGAGCTCCGTTAGCATCTCGCCACGCGACGTCAGAACGTTCGCGGTCGTTTTCTAACGTCGTCGAGTCACTTCCACACCGTCGATTACGTTTCGCTGGAGTTACACACTCGGGTGTTACATCCTGCGGCGTGCAGCAGCACGGGCCGAGTCTGGCAGCGGCGGCCGCGGCGATGGCGGCGCAAAGTATATATACATGTAAATTGGCCGACGCGCTTCGTATATTCCGCTGTCTCGCGGAGTAATCGCAATCTCGCGAAAAGCCGAGGGATAACGACGGCGTGCGGGAGAGTATCCTATCGTCGTGAATCTCATCGCGCTGGCTGGCGGGCCTCCGAGCGAGAGGAAAATATCTGCCGCGTAGCCGCACATCACCGTTACAGAAACGTACTTATGGAAGTTCTATTTCGAAGTCCGAAGCGATTTCTACGGGCGAACTTTTGCACTATTTTGAGGCGATTCAGCGGGCGCGAGCAACCACGCGCGCGCGTACGTGTAGGTCTGTGCGCGTGCGTGTGTACCGAGAAAGTTTATGGAAGTATTCTCAGGAGTTATCCGGGATTTTTATTAAAAATACGCTCCCGCCGCGCGAATGTCTCCGGACGTATTGGGAGATACGCATCGCATCGAAGCTTCGCTCGTCGACAGAGTCGCTTGTGTTATTTTCGCTCGGGATATAT